AATCATTCCTCAACTTCTCTCCCAGGGCGCCAGTTGAAGGCTGCATCCCAATCTGAGCATTTGCTGCCTCAAGGCGTGGCTCCTCAATGGTTCGCTGGGCTACAGTTGTCCTGTTCTGCAAAGGTACAACACATATTGTTAAATAGTAGGAAAGATTCTCCACTTTTGAAAGTATTTCTGGTAGAAGATTTAATCACTTGGGTGAATTCCAGAACGCTGTCCCTGAATCTGCCTCACTTCTGCTCATTCTGGAATACCTGTTGCAACTAAAAAAATCCAGAACTGTTACTAAAATCCCTGAAGGTTCATCTGGCTATCCTAACAGCTTTTCATATCATTATTGAGGGGCTCTCCCTGTCTGCTCACCTTGCAACTGCAAGATTCATGAAAGGTCTGGGAAATTTCTTCCCACAGGTGAAAGTCCCTCCCCAGCTTGTCACCTGAATCTGGTTCTTAAAAGTCATATGAAGTCTCCTTTTGAACCAATGGAGACCTGCTTCTTATTGAATTTGTCTATGAAAACAGCCTTCCTAGTGGCTATTACCTCAGCCCGTAGAGTCGGAGAGATTGGGGCATTAATGGCAGGCTCTACTTTCACAATATTTTATAAGCGTAAGGTTCCCCTAGAGCCGCATCCCAGGTTTCTCCCTAAAGTGTCTTCTGAGTTTTGTCTAAATCAGGTCATTTACCTATCAGTTTTCTTTCTGAAACTGTACAATTCCAACAGGGAGACTGTTCTCAACAGGGAGATGTCAGGAGGGCATTCTAGATAAAACTAAACTAGTTTGTAAATCCCCTAGACTGTTGGTTTAGTTTGCAGACAGATCAAAGGTTCTGCCATTTCTAGCCAACGGCTCTCAGAATAGATTTCTGGGTGTATTATACCTTGTTACAGTGCAGCCAACAAACCCCCCCCCCCCCCCGGTCTGGCGTGTCAGCTCATTCAATGAGGTCATAATCTACATCTGTGGCTCTACTTAAAAAGTCCCAGTTTCTGAGCTCTGCAGAACAGCTACATGGTCTTCGGCACATCCCTTCTCCAGACACTATGCCTTAGTGAATGCCTCCAGATGTGATACAGCAGTTGGCAGTGCAGCTCTTTCCTTTGTAACGGCCTTTACTCTGAAGCTCCCCACCCTGCTTATGGGGATACTGTTTGGGAGTCACCGGAAGTGGAGCGCCCATAGGGACACTACACAAAGAAGAAAGAGAGGTTACTCACCCTGTGCAGTAACTGTAGTTCTTTCAGATGTGTGTCCCTATGGGTGATCCATTTCCCGCCCTCCTTCCCCTCTGCTTTGGAGTTTCCTTCTGAGACTCAGTGATGGACAAGGTACTGAGGGCTGTTCACTCGCACAGCCTGATATAGCCTTGGTGCAGGGCACGAGAATATCAACAGTGCATGCATGGGCCAAATGGATACTGCTAATGAAATTCTCCGATAGAAGGCATGTGGGGCACACGTGCACCTGAAGGGGAGCATCCAAAGGGGGACACATCTCGAAGAACTACAGTTACTGCACAGGGTGAGTAACCTCTCTCTGTTCTCAGGGCTGCAGTAGTATTCACTGTATTTGCAGTCCTGAAGTGCACTGGGGCACAGTGAACCCCAGCAGAGCTGGGCTCTGTGCATGCCAGTAGTACAGGCTCCCTAAATCACGCCTTCCACATATAGAGACTTCCGGCAGCTGCACCTGGCGGAGCAAGATTTGCCTTTTTGTGTCTATAGTATTGCAAAGTACTGATCTGATTGACAAATGCTAGAACATCCTAGATTTGGTGCAAAGCAGAGGAAGCGTAAAAGCGTGACTCAACCATTTTATCAGTTGAAAACCTTCAGTGTTATTACTTGGCATTTCCATTTTCTAGTAGTGGTTTCTTTCTGATCTTAAATGGTGCACCCAAAGGGAGGGAGCCGTGTTTCATAGTGCAAGGTAATAATTACTATACTAATAACTGTGATGACATACATGATCATCAGCTAAGCTAACTCTGTATGCGTGTATGAAATGCAAATTGAAATTCTATGAGTGATTATGTGGAGGGAAAAAACAGATTTTTTTTTTTTGGTCTGTCTGTACTGTACCTTGAAAGACAACAGATAAAGAAATGATTTTATCTTTAATCTTGGAAGTGGGGAAGGGCTTGCTTATCACTGACAGTAATTCATACACTAACTTGAAGAATGTTCTAATGAAAAGACGTGACTCCATTGCTGTGTAGGGAATCAGCTGCTCAGTGTCACAGCTCAGCAAATAAGGTGATGATACAGTACACGTGAAGTATATTGCAGCACTTAAGCTGTGTCAGACAATGGTATCCTGGAAACAGGGTTTGTTTGGTTTTTTAATTATGTTGTCCCTTCATCAGATTGTAAGAATTATTGCTAAGAAACAGAATTGTATGCTTGCCAGAAATGGAAACCTTTACAAATACATTTTTGTTTTAGAATTCAGCCTTTTTCTTACAGGAAAAGTCCAGGTGCAAATAGGGTGGGTCTTCCTAAAACAATATTTATTCAACTACTTTGAGAAATGGCACGAGAGTCACTATGTAAAAATCTAAGATAGAAGCATTGGTCAGTTTGACATGTTTCTCCCTTTCCTCTATTATGTTTCCAAATGTACTTATGTCTGGAAAATTAAAAACCCCTCAACTCATTTCTAGTACAGAAGGTAATGAGACATATTCTAGGGATCAGAAGGAAGCACCTGACAAGTAGGAGTTGCAATAGTTTGTGTTAGTCAGGAAATCAGCATCTTTAGTACAAATGCTGGGGAGTTATAAATAGCAGCGTGAATTAAATGAGTGAAAAATGGAGATGTTTCATCAGTTCTTGGCTGTTGGCGTGTACTTTTTTTTTTTAATCATAGGGAATCTCTCTCTCTCTCTCTCTCTCTATATATATATATATACATATACACACACACACACTTAGCACTTCATATCTTCAAAGCATTTCATCACCATTAACCACTTAGGTCAGGGGAGCTAGCGCTCTCACAATGGAAATATTGTGGGGGCGCTGCCCCTGCATAAACTTGCACATGCCTGGGGGGAAGCGGGAGACAAGTAGGACCCAGAGAGGCTGGAGCAGGCCACCACAAGGGCTAGGGAGCAGGGAACAGGACCCGGAGGGGCTGAAGTGGCTGCTGCGGGGTCCAGGATTGGGCTGAAATGCTCCCAGGATCAGGTAGGAGCCCCTGGGACCCACCTTCCCAACTGGAGCCAGCTGCCTGCCCTTCACCAAGTCTCAGTACCTCCCCTTACTCCCCCTCCGATCTGTCTGCCCCCCATTTCCAGGCACTGACATAGGTCCAAATCAGCCAGACATTCATATTCATGTGACTTTACCCATTGAATTCAATGGGATGTAAAATTATTCCTATGAGTAAATGTTGGCAGAATCAGGCAAAGACTGGGGTGTCATCTTTGCCTTCTAGGAATAACTCCCATGTTCATTTTCTTTGCACACAACCAGGGTAACCCCCGTGGCCTCTTTTTCCTCTGTGCTCCTTTCCTGGTGACTTTGTACGTAAATGTGCATCTGTTTTGTTGGGTTAGAGCTTAATTTATAGCCTGACAGAGAAATACTTATTTCTTACCTCCTGTCTGAAGGAAAACTTGTTTTTCACCTTTGCTGGTGACTAATACCTTGATACAGACTTTAAAACATATTTTCAGTGTACATATATAACTCCTTACATCGTATCTATATGTACAGCTCACAACAATATTAAGGACCAGGGTGACACCAGCTTTCCTTTTAGACCTCACATGATGTTTTTTGGTGAACCAAAATGGACATACCAGTATCAGGATGTTCCTGTAACCCCCTTGCTAATTGGCATTAAGGACTTCTTGGGTCACAAAGCTGAGAAAGGGAGAAGATAACTGACTTGCCTAAGAGCTGGAATTAGAATTTGGGAATACAGGAGAACCTCAGAGTTATGAACGTCAGAGTTACAAACTGACCAGACAACTACACACCTCATTTGGAATCGGAGGTATGCAATCAGGCAGCAGCAAAGACACACACACCAAAAAAAAAAAAAAAAAAAAAAAAAAAGCAAATAAAACAAAGTACAGTGTTAAACGTAAACTACTAAAAAATAAAGGAAAAGCAGCATTTTTCTTCTGCATAGTGAAGTTTCAAAGCTGTATTAAGTCAATGTTCAGTTGTAAACTTTTGAAAGAACAACCATTCCATTTTGTTATGAACATTTCAGAGTTACGAACAACCTCCTTTCCTGAGGTGTTTGTAACTCTGAGGTTCTACTATACTTGATTTCCATTTCCATTCTTAGTCCGCTAGGCCATACTGCCTCTCTTAGTGCAGCACTGTTTTTTCTTAAGTGAAATTTGTCATAGCGGGAAGGGCCCACTCAGTGAATGGGCCACTGCACTACTCTCTAAACAAAGCAGATGCATAGCACGGCCGCCATCCTCTCTGTGCTTCTGCAGTGATGGCCTTTTGTGCTTGTTCTGAATAGGACAATGCGGAGAAAAAGCTTTGGGGACAGGCCATGACGGTATCAATGGATCCACACTTACACAGGTGCTAGGCACACCACTCATGTGGCCCAGAGGAGCAACAGCCACTAGTCCGGTTCACAGACAGGAATAAGCAGCTGTGGAGGTGCTGCGGTGCAGCCTGCTCTCAGATTGGGGCTTTATTTATTTATTTATTTATTGGTCCCATCTCAAAGCCTTGTTACTTGACGTTTGTGTGAAGAGAGGTGAAATTCAGCAGCAGCAGCCAGAATAATTTTTCTCAGGTGGTTAAAAGCTCTAGTTAACGAGATTCTTACTTCAAGTGATTTGCATCATTGGCTAAATAACGATTACCCCACTGCAAAAAAGACCAGAATAAAAGAGGCCTGGAGGCTGGTGGTTTTCCTCTTCCTGCTGTCAGACAGAGAAATAACACTCTCCTAGATTTCTTTTCCAGAGGCTGGTAACTTTAGTCTCAATCAGATTTTCTTTTCTCTCTCTTTCAGGACGGTTATTCTGAGCGAAGGACCCTGCAAGGCCTACTAAGTGGTTATCATGGGCTTAATTGCATTTTTGAAGACCCAGTTTATAGTTCATCTCCTCATTGGGTTTGTCTTCGTTGTGAGTGGGTTGATCATTAACTTCGTCCAACTATGCACACTAATCCTCTGGCCTATAAACAAGCAGTTTTATCGCCGAGTAAACTGTCGCCTTGCCTATTCGCTCTGGAGCCGTGAGTATACTCTGATGGGGATGAGGTTGGGGAGAAGCCCGCCAGCCCAGTGCCAGGGAGGGGCTGGAGAAGAGAGGATTCCAGCCGCGGCCAGCGAGGGGAAAGGTGCCCCAAATTTTTGGGTGCCCTACACAGCCATGTATGCTACATATGCCTAAGTACGGCCCTGGTTGCTTTCCTTCTTCACAACCCTCCCCAAAACTCCCTTCTTTCCCCGAGCCTTACTTCATTGGCCTCCACTCCAGCACTCCTGCTCTCTCCCTGGACTTCGTTCACTATTTAATATGGGGCACAATTTCCAATATGGGTGTCTAATATTAGACTCCTAGATCCGTATTTAGGCACCTACCTCAGTGGCCTGATTTTCAAAAAGGGCTATTTACTTTAGTGGGAGCTGCTGGGTGCTCAGCACTCTTGAAAATCAGATCTCTAAGGTAGGTGCCTCAACAGGGATTTAGGCTTCTAACGTTAGATGTTAACGTTTAAGAAATCATGGGCTCAAAATGTTATAAACAAATGTACTCTGTAGCAAGAGCGGTGGAAGCTTCCTAAAAGTAGGGGGGCCACTGTTGCCCACCCCTGCGCTGCCTCTTCCCCTGAGGCCCTGCCCAAACACCGCCTCTTCCCCTGGCCTGTAATGGAAAAGCTGACAGAACGTTCACTTTAATTGTGGTTTATAATGAAGAAAGTGATACAGCCTTATAAACCTAGCAGGGCAAGTGTTGCCATTTATAACATGAATAAGGAATACTAACGTATTTCGGGAGTGGAGCTATAGATTGCATTCCATTCTACATGGTTGGTTTTGGTTACTTATTTAGAAATATTTCTTTTAAGCTGGTGTTTCTCGTGCCAGTTCTCACCTCAAAGATATTTTTTTAAAAAAGCAAATTCAATAAAAGCCACTCAGTCCACCTTTGTGCTTTCTAATTTTTTTTCTTGGTTTTATGAAGTGTACTTAATATTGTAATACTTCTCCATGGCAACTGTTATGTCATGTGGCTGACATAGGTCATTGTAGGACCGATCGTATCCCAGATACAATACACCTCAGGTGGGTCAGGATAACTGGCAATGGTGATAGAACAAGAAGAACCAAGCTGGACTTAAACTGCGATCTTGGCATTTGCAGTCACTGTGACAGATATTGCAACCTAATGCAGTACCTGTATATTAAATTTATGAAGGGATTATGTATGAATGTGTTCTTCTCCATGGAGGAGGGTTACCACAGCTCCTCCAGGAACTAAAAACACTGGGGGAGTGATCAAGGCGAGTCACTGAGACTAAACAACTCTAGGGAGGTACCACTCCGGGACTGTTTTGCATACACTGGTTCAAAGTGGGTTTTCCAGAGACTCAAAGAAAGAGCTCTTGGTATAAAAAGGCTGAGTTTGAAGAGACATAGTGCCGTCTGTCTGAACCAGCAAAGCAATGTTCACATTTGTCCAAGGGGACCAATCCTGCTGTAGGATTGGAAGTACTTTGGCCCCATAAGACTGCTTGTTTTTCTTGATATGTTTAGTGGGGTTTAAATCTGTTTATTTTTTATACATTTTTCTCTGTAAAACTTTTTCCGTAAGAATAAATGTCCCTGCTTAGAAAGAACTGTTTGGATTACTGGTAAATCACACCTGTCATAGTCCTTGGAGTGAAAGCAGAGCCCAGCCACAGGCTATAAGCAGACTGGCTTGCTGGGGATCATGCAGTGTAAGGCAAGGGTCTGTGCAGCCTTAAAACTGCTGATCAGAAAGGAGTGGGACAAGGGTCCCTACCCAGAGACTGGTTACGGCAGGAGTTCTGAAAGCTGAGTGGGCACTCTGGAGTGGACCGTGGTGTAGGTCCCGTGAAACTGTGACAGTCACCATTTAGGAGGAAAACTTTTTTTTTTTTTTTTTTTAACTTTTGATGTGGGATTACTGAGTGACAGTAAACATGTAACACCACAATGCCATGTTTACAGAATCACTTTTCAAAGGACAGCCGTGCTTTAGAATTAAGGCTACTGCATCCTCAACTCAAGGTATTGAGCTGTGTGTTTGTTGCCCCATGCAGTGAATTTAGAAAAGTGTCAGTCTAAATTTGTATTTTTTTTTTTTGTTTGTGGGTTATTTGGTTGGTTGGTTTTTTGCCACCAGTGTAACATTAGTTATCACTTTTTGACTAGATCTTGCTAGCTGTGGTAGCTGTGATATACATTATCAGGAAGATTATTTGGAGTGGAAGTCATTCACACATGTACTTAATTTTAGGAGACTTGAATCTCTTGCTCTAACACATCTTAACTAAAATGGTCAGTATGGTGCTTTGGTGAATACCACCTTCTTGTGGTAAAGCAGTGCTGGATTTTCTGTCAGGCTCCCTACGAAGAGAAAACACTTCAGAGCATCTGTATTTCAGGCTTATTAGTGTTAGTGCTCTTCAAATGACTCATGATTCTTAATAGGGCAGTATGCTTAGTTTAGTCCAGTTGTAAACATAATATCTTAGAATCTTGGTATCTTGAAACTACTGTCCTCTGCACTCTAGAGCAGATAGATGTATCCCGCCACTCTGGCTTACTTTGTTTCTGGATGGTTGTCCTCTCGGGAGGCAACAAGAGCCCCTCTTCCGGCAAGCTGAAGCTCTAGAATCCGAGAGGGGTTGGGCTAAATTATAAGCATTTTTGTTTTGTTTTGTTAAAGTGAAATCTTGTTGCCTCGCAGGCAGTTAGAGCGAGTATCCAAACCATCATGTAAACAACAAACAAGATTTCAGAGAATAGGCCATAGCATTGACAGGATCAGTTGGAGACTAAATATCGGGAGCCCAATCTTTTTTTTAAAAAAATCACCAAAAGAAATAAATGTACATGCATCATATATCAGTGCACTTGTAAAGGACAATCTGCTTCCTCGTAGTAACTCCCCTGTTCCCCAACCCTCATGTCTCAGTATGAGCTCCAGGAAAAATCTCACAAGAATGTTTCAGAGTAAATGATGGGAATGCTCTCAAACCAGTGCATCCATGTCTGGCTCTGTTGAATTTTTGTTCTCTTTGGAGAGGAGAGCTCAGGTACAGCCTCCATCCTTTTTTTAAGGAAGATTTTTAAGAGCACAGCATAGAGTTAGATCAGTAGATGTAATAACATTAATCTCCAGAAAGAGATAGAAAGGCAATTTGTCCTGTGGTTAGCATAATTTCTGGCTGCATAAAGAACCAAGTTATTGACTAGTCGGCAGGATTAAGAGTGGGTGTTGTGGAATAACACACTGAAGTCATTGAATAATTCCCCAGTAACCTGAGCCCAGTATATTAAATCCAAGGACAGCTCCACCAATGGTGGGCCCACTTAGTGACATCCCCCACTTCTTGCATTTTAAACATACTGGACTAGATCCGGCTGCAAACCTGCTACAGTGAGGGTGGTGGTGGTATTTGTATCGTGCCTAAGGGCCCAAAATGAGGATCAAGGCCGCATTACGCTATGTGCTGTGCAGACATGCAGGAAAGAGAGTCTGTGTCCCAAAGAGCTTGCAATGTGGAATATGACAACACCTGAATGGGTGGATAAGATTTTAAAAAAAGAGGGGTGAGAAGGACAACAGCTACAATGAAATGTAGTATAGGCATTAATTTATATTGAGTCCCCTGTACAGTTGCTTCAGAAATTTTATAACAACACAACAGGGTTTTATTCCACCTCTTCTATATATTTGACTGTTTAATTCTTTATATAGAGGATGTAATAAGAGTTTTACTGATCTCAACAGTGGCTAAGATTTCTTCCACAGGACAGCAAGATAATTCTATTTAAGGTTCACAAATTTGTGCATTAATATATGTTGAAGCACTAAGTTAGTATGGGAGTAGTTTAAAGTATACCAGAGGTTTGTGAATAAACCTCTCTCACTGAAACCACCAAAAATGCACTTAATTGATGCATTTCATCACTTAGAAAATAGGGCTGGCCAGGTTTGAGAGAAACCTGTAGTTATAAATTATGCATCCCTGTTGATATTCTCATTTCCTCCCTTCTTTAAATCACAGTGGGAAAGAGTCAGACTTGACGTACAAGTTATATTAGTCTTTTCAAGCCCATAAAGGGGCCCTGAATAAATGATATATAAGTGAATAGGCTTGTGGATATGACAAGAAAAGCAATTTAGATAATCAGTCCTGGAGAAGCTAACCTCTCTTTGATTAACATTGAGCAGGGGTTCTCAATTTTTTTCCATACTCAGACCCCTCTGAGGCCTGGTCTACACTTACCCCCGAATTCGAACTAAGGTACGCAACTTCAGCTACGTGAATAACGTAGCTGAAGTCGAAGTACCTTAGTTCGAACTTACCTCGGTCCACACGCGGCAGGCAGGCTCCCCCGTCGACGCCGCGGTACTCCTCTCATATAGCTGGAGTACCGCAGTCGACGGCGATCACTTCCTGGTTCGACTTATCGCGTCCAGACAAGACGCGATAAGTCGAACCCAGAACTTCGATTCCCAGCCGCCGAACTAGCGGCTGGGTGTAGACATACCCTGAGTCTTCCTCATGTCTAGTCTGGATCAAAATTGGACCCCAGCCCATTTAGCAATATGGGAAGGGCAGGCTGGAGACCTTGTGACCACCAGGTGGCGAAACCCTCACATAAAGAGACACTGCCCCAACTCATCCAGCCAGTGCCTTATGAAACAAAGCTGAAGTTCAAAGCTACATTAGTGAATGTTCTATTAATGGTGGGAATTCTAAATATGCAGAAGAGAAGGAAAGATGAAAAGGGGTGGGTAATGAATGAGATATCAGAGAGAGAGATGAAATGGAGGAAAGGATAGGGGAAACACAGAAATGTAGAAGAAGAGTTAGAGAAGGGAGAGGGAAAGGGATCTCTTTCTCTTTCCTTCTTTTGTAGACTAAATAAAGGAGAAGCAATTTCTCCTTCTGTTCTTACCCAGTAATTTCTCTGGACTCTCCCAGTTCTTCCCCCATGTGTCTCTGACTTTGTGTTGGTAACCCTAATACAGCCTTATTACAGTCATGTGTTTAATATTAAAATATACTGCAGAAATTCTTGTAGCATTTATCCACTAAAAGCCCATTATATTGGTTTGTTTACCTCAATCAAGCATATTTCATATTCAGTGGAAACATTAGGTTGAGTCTATGCATAATTTGTGTTCCACCTGGGAGGAGATGTACCCATTTAGTAGAAAGGTCTACTGCTGAAAGACCTGCTTTCAGGTTCGTGTGTGTGTCTGTGTGTGAGAGAGAGATGGGGGGAGAGGGGGGATTGTTGGTGTTTGTGAAATCTTGAATTTACGATGAGCAATAATAACAATCAGGTATTTATCCCGTGGCCTAAATCCTGTTTCAGGGTGATAACATAAATATGAATGCAGGTGATCTGGTGTATGTCAGTCTGAGAACTCATTTAATCTATAATATAATATAAACCAGCAACCTCAGCAGGATGGATTAAAAAGGTGATAAACATTGTAGTCTAGAAAAGTTTGGAATGGGATTGGGATGGACAGAGGATATTAAACGTGTTATGGTTAAGCATTACAGCTAACCTGTGTCTTTTTTTTTCCCCTCCCCACAATATTATTCAGAGTTAGTAATGTTGCTGGAATGGTGGTCAGGCACAGAATGCACTTTATTCTCAGACCAGGCCACAGTGGATACATTTGGAAAAGAACATGTGATCATCATCTTGAATCACAACTTTGAAATTGACTTCTTGTGTGGTTGGACTATGACTGAACGCTTTGGAGTGTTGGGGGTGAGTGATTCTGTGAACTTTCCCTTCATCTTGATTTAATATAAAACTCCTGTGTTTGTTTTTTCTTTGTGGTGGGATTTTCAAAAAAAACTCCATTGACTTCAGTTTGGTCAGAGCTAGGCCAGTGCTGAGCACTTTTGAAAATCCCAACCTTAGTGCTTTTGTTTAGGTCTGACATATATAAATAATCAAATGTCATTGGGCGGTGTTTCTTCCAGAGTTCCAAAGTTCTTGCTAAGAAAGAACTGTTGTATGTGCCCTTGATTGGTTGGACGTGGTACTTCCTTGAGATTGTTTTCTGCAAAAGGAAATGGGAAGAAGACAGAGATACAGTTATTGAGGGATTAAAACGTTTGTCTGATTATCCTGAATATATGTGGGTAAGTGTCTGATCCTTTATAAATAGTGTCTCCTCTGCTTAGAGTGCAGTGATGAAGACTATATTTGTGTGGTGTGTCAGCTTCATACTTAAGAGCGCCGCCTTCTTCCTGTGATTACATTTGAAGCGTATAGCTATATGCCTTGTTGCAAGTGACTTCATTGCACACTAGCCAGGCTTCTGATCTGTTATTGGATAGGAATGCCATTTTGAAAATTGTTGGTAAATGTGCATAAGTATTTCTCAAAGTATTTAGCAGTAGAAACCTAAGCTTGCATGTCTCAAAACATACAACTTTTTCCCCCCTTCTAAAAGGATAAAAGGACTTTCCATAACTCTTTTTACCCAAAAAATACATTATTCAAGTTTTACTACTGAACTTGTGAATCTAGGCTACATTTTCCAGGCTAAACTAAACATATTATTTAAAAAAATAGGGGTTTTTTTTCTTCAGGAACCTGCAGGGGGGCAATGGGAAGAGAGATTTGCAAAGGTTGCAGATTACAATGGAAAGTTTTTGCATCAGTGCATTCTCTTTCCTCTGTGAAATTGTACAGGCATTTGAGAAACTTGCAAGAATATACAGATGTCTCCAATTGCCTTTGAAGTGTACATCTCCTTTATATATGCATCCAACAGTTCATTAAGCTCAGTTTTGTGGGGTATATTACAATAATACAACATCATAAGTAAACCAGAAAAAAAAATTATATTCTGAAAGATACCTTCATGGCGTCACATTTTTGAGCTAATGTATCCATGACGCCTCACCACCAAGAATTTAACTTGATTTGAGTCTATTTAAAAATAAGTTCCTTCAGCTTGAGAATGTGTGCAATGCATTTCAGTCTCCAAATGCAAGCTAAAAGGTTCGTATTGTAAATTCCTTCATGGGCCCAAACCTTATCTCCAATAGTACCAGGCACCACTGTAAGAGGCGCTGAAAAGATTTTGGCTCCACATAGCACCTCTCATACCCAATATATTCCACAATGTTTTACAAAGTGATTAAACTAGCAATCCAGTGGCTGTGTGATCAGATAAAGTTCACAAACAGTGCTGGACAGAAAAGATTTTCAGAGAAGGGAAAAGTTGTTCAGGACAACAGCATTCTCTCCGGCTCCAGCATAATTGTTACTGAAGATTATCTTTTATAGGTGGAGCTAATAGTTTGCATTATAAGCCCCTGTTGTCAGTTTCCTATGCTTTGACCATCTGGGCTATGCTTGCTCTCTGCCTCAGACTGAATATTTTTGGAATGTTTTAATGAAAATGTGTGTCACTTCTGCAAATGAGGCTAGTGAAACAGAGGTAGTTTTTGCCAGTGTTAACAAAACAGTAAAATTAAATAAAACTGACTCTTTCAAGAGCTCTAGAGCCTCCATTTTGCAGTAGTAACTTGAAATCTGAAAGGGAGATAGTCTTGGGGTCCGTGAGATGTGTTATGTATTCCCTGTGAAATCCACCCAGATTTGATAGTTATTATAAACCCTCTTAAAATCAACATTTGTACATGCTCAGTAAAGCCTGCGAGAAGCTTGCTGGTAAAATCTTTGAACATTCCATCTTCAAAGAGCTGCTTCCACCTCTACTAAGCCTCCTAAATGGCAGCCAGAGAGCTAGAGCTCCAGACAAGGGGTACAGCAATAGCAGCTACATCTCGCCCCTTAGCTTTGCGAAAGGTGCTCTTGTTTGGGAGCTATGAGGAAATTGAGCTCTAGTCTCAGCTCCTCTACTAACCAGTGTTGATTATGTGCCTTTCAGAGTCCTTATGATTGAGCAAGGCCTCATATCCTTTAAGAGGTAGGCAAATATCATCGAGAAACTTCACAAATAAAGCAACTGCTGAGAAGTTGCACAAAGTCACTTCTGGCAGACTTTGGAATTGATGTTAGGTTTCTAATATGGCACATCTCATCTTTTTAGCCACACACTCATTCAGAATGAATGTGCCAGATCTATGTGCTTGGCTATATTCTCTGTAACCACTCGACCACACTCCGAGCAAGAAATAGAAATCAGAATTACTGTCTGCCCCCTACCCCCCAGCCAGAAATGGAAACCAGCGTTCTTGTTTCCCAACATTTCTCCACTGTCAATAAATAACTGAGTAAGCCACAGGCAAAGTATGTCTCATGTCACCTTCTAATGGCTGGCCCACATAGAGGATAACAGCCTCCTACTGCTACCACTTATTCTTTTAGCTCAAGTGATAGGTGTCTCTGCTGCCCAACTAAAGGTCCTGGGTTCCAACTATGCTGATGGTTCAGAAGGTCATTATGGTTCCAGGTGATGGAATTTCTTAGGGGGTTCAGTTTCTTTTCAAAAAGCAGAGGAAATTATATACAAAAATTTACATTAAAATAACTTTTAGGTTGCACAGTCAAGCACTCAAAAGTTAGGAAATGCCAGAATTAAGGTTGTCTGTGCAATCTTCACTGGATCTCCTTGTGTGTTTGCATTATGATAATCTTTAATTACATAATCACATAGTATTTGTTCTACAGTACTTCTGCCTCATTCAGTGCACAGGATGGACAGTGAAGGAGGCAGAGAGTTGCGAGAAGAGAAGTTATTATATTTAAGATGCTGGACTGAAACCCAAGAGAGCTGGGTTCTTCTATTCCGGGCACTGCCACAGATATCCCACATGATGTTTGACAAAGACTTTCATAATGCATAACCATAATGGTGTTGAATTAATGTTGCATTAATAACATTCATTCTGGCATTTCCTAACTTTGGAGTACTTGACTTTGCAACCTTAGCATTCATTTAATGCAGCTTTTTTTGTATGTAATATTTATATATACTAAAGAGAAAGGTAGAGTCACAACAGCACTGTTACATAACAGATGTACAGTGACTATAGCAAAATTGAGAGATTGTCTTGGTTTCCCCATTTTTAGCAGGACTTACTTTTGAAGCACATTGTGAACTACAGCAACTAAACATAATTTACTGCTGTTATGAGTAGAATCAAATTCCCCTTTTTGGCTTTTATATGATGCAGAGATTTGTGTGCACACAAGTTAGGAATGCAGCAGTGCCATGGAGCTAAAATGAGGCTAAGAAAAGTTGGGAAATAGGTTACAGCCACTCAGAATGGCCAAGAATCCAAAGTTCACCCCTGTGGCGCCCAGAATATGTACCTGGTGTTGTCTATTCCTATTAGTTTTGCTCCTGGCTTCATTTCTAAGAGGGGAAGATGTGGGGTGGCGCCCTGGGAGCCACAGATCTGTCTTCTCTGTATTGTCCTTTTTTTTTTTTTTTTTTTTTTTTAAGGCGTGTAGTGGAGAGTTTCAGTCTTTGTCAATAGGTGCCCGGAGTGCAGTCAAACAGGTGATGTAAGGGTGAGTCCATCCAGTCTCCCCTCCAAAAGGAAAATACTTAGATACTTTGGGATAATATATTTGCTTTCAAATGGGCATGTATGTCTTTGAATAGCTTTTCTCACTTGCAGTACCAGCCCCTCACTTGCTATGACTTCTCAGGATTTTTTTTTCTGTAATGCTCTTTCAGTTGTAGTATTAACCTTTTAGACCCTTATGACCTTAAATTTGGTACCAGTACTTTCAAAACTTTACTTTTACATTACCTGGATCAAAATCTGCTGTTCTCTACACAAGTGCACCTTCCACTGGCTTTAGCGAGATTTACATAGCAAGATAGGAAGTATGGCAAAAGACCACCCTGGCTTAACCAGGAGGTTTTCAATGATTTGAAACTCAAAAAAGAGTCCTACAAAAAAGTGGAGACTAGGTCAAATTACAGAAGATGAATATAGACAAATACAAGTATGTAGGGACAAAATTAGAAAGGCCAAGGCACAAAACGAGATTAAACTAGCTAGAGACACAAAGGGTAACAAGAAAACATTCTACAAATACATTAGAAGCAAGAGGAAGACCAAGGACAGGGTACATCCACTACTCAATAAGTGGGGGGGAAACAATCACAGAAAATGTGGAAATGGCAGAAGTGCTAAATGACGTTTTTGTTTCAGTTTTCACCAAAAAGGTTGGTAGCGATTGAACGTCTAACATAGTGAATGGCAGTGAAAATGAGGTAGGATCAGAGGCTAAAATAGGGAAAGAAAAAGTTAAAAATTACTTAGACAAGTTATATGCCTTCAAGTCACCAGGGCCTGATGAAATACATGCTAGAATACTCAAGGAGCTGACTGGGGAGATATCTGAACCATTAGTGATTATCTTTGGAAGACAGGAGAGATTCCAGAGGACTGGAAAAGGGCAAATATAGTGCCCATCTATAAAAAGGGAAATAAGGACAACCCAGGGGAATTACAGACCAGTCATCTTAACTTCAGTTCCCGGACAGATAATGGAGCAAATAATTAAGCAATCAATTTGCAAACACCTAGAAGATGATAAGGTGATAAGTAACAGTCAACATGGATTTGTCAAGAACAAATTATGTCAAACCAACCTAATAGCTTTCTTTGACAGGTTAACAAGCCTTGTGGAAAGTGGGGGAAGCAGTAGATATGGTATATCTTGACTTTAGTAAGGCTTTTGCTACTATCTCACGTGACCGTCTCATAAACAAATGAGGGAAATACAACCTAGATGGAGCTACTATAAGATGGGTGCGTAAGTGTTTGGAAAATCATTCCTAGAGAATAGTTAGCAGTGGTTCACAGTCAAGTTGGAAGGGCATATCAAGTGGGGTCCCGCAGGGATCGGTTCTGGTTCTATCCAATATCTTCATCAATGATTTAGATAATGGCATAGAGCGTACATTTACAAAGTTTGTGGACAATGCCAAGCTGGGAGGGGTTGCAAGTGCTTTGGAGGTTATGTTTAAAATTCAAAATGATCTGGACAAATTGGAGAAATGGTCTGAAGTAAATAGGATGAAATTCAATAAGGACAAATGCAAAGTACTTCACTTAGGAAGGAACAATCAGTTGCACACATACAAAATGGAAAATGACTGCCTAGGAAGGAGTATGGGATCTAGGGGTCATAGTGGATCATAAGCTAAATATGAGTGAACAGTGTAACACCGTTGCAAAAAAAGCAAACATTCTCTGATGTAGTAGCAGGAGTGTTGTAAGCAAGACACAAGAAGTAATTCTTCCGCTTTACTCTGCACTGATTAGGCCTCAACTGGAGTATTGTGTCCAGTTCTGGGTGCCACATTTCAGGAAAGATGTGGACAAATTTGAGAAAATCCAGAGAAGAGCAACAAAAATAATTAAATGTCTAGAAAACATGACCTATGAGGCAAGATTGAAAACAATTGGGTTTGTTTATTCTGGAGAAGAGAAGACTGAGAGGGGACATAACAGTTTTCAAGTGCATGAAAGGTTGTTACAAGGAGGAGGGTGAAAAATTGTTCTCCTTAACCTCTGAGGACAGGACAAGAAGCAGTGGGCTTAAATTGCAGCAAGGGTGGTTTAGGTTGGACATTAGGGAAAACTTCCTAACTGTCAGGTTAAGCACTGGAATAAGTTTCCCAGGGAGGTTGTAGAATATCCATCGTTGGAGATTTTTAAGAGCAGGTTAGACAAACACCTGTCAGGGATGGTCTAGATTGTACTTAGTCCTGCCATGAGTGCATGGGACTGGACTAGATGACCTCTCAAGGTCCCTTCCTGTCCTATGATCATTCTGTGATCTACATCTTTGTGATAGAGAAGAGAATTTCCTTATTTTACTTGTTTCTTGTAGCTGAGCTGGAACTTGAAGCTGAAGTCATGTTCATGCATTTTTGAGTATTCCTGTGACTTTTAAAGGAAGAAATGTTTCAGCTGGAATTGGGGGAGGAGGGCATGTGTATGTATGTGTCTATGTATAACCTATTTGCTTGATTAGAAAATAAATAAAATAAATAAACTGATATCCAAAAAGGTGCTTTAAATTTAGTTGCATCTCTGAATATTTGCATGTGTGTTCCACATTCTTTGAGACCAGGCTCTAATTAGCTGTCTTCTGAAAGCAGATACTGTACAGCAAATTGCTGATTGTAATTCTCAAATAATATGATCTATTATATTCAATTACCCCCCTGAAGAGTAGTAGGATGGCTCTGATGCATGATATCTAAAGAACAAAGGAGGGAATTGAGTGTGTCCATCCTGTAAGAGCGCCAGATCTGCACTAAACAGTAATTTCTTCTTAAGAAAAACCCTTGTTTTTCCTCTTGTTTTGTATGCTAGTTTCTCCTGTATTGCGAAGGAACTCGTTTTACAGAAACCAAGCATCGTATCAGCATGGAGGTGGCTGAATCCAAAGGGTTGCCTAAATTGAAATATCATCTGTTGCCCAGAACCAAAGGTTTCACCACTGCTGTCCAGTGTCTCAGGGGAACAGGTATGGGTGAGCTGTTTGTTCTAAACCTTACTAGTAATGTGTGTTATTATGTATCATAGTTCAGTATATTCATTGCATTTGGTGAGTAGGTGATAATACAGACTCAGTATGGCCCTTGGATGACATCAAGATTAAGCTGAAGCACTAGACTCCATTTTCTAAACAATCTTTAAAATGTATTAATTTGTTCTAGTTTTAATTTGCAAAAATTAATACTTTCCATCTTTAAAGTGGCAATATACAAACATTGCATAATTAATCAGCTCTCACTCCACTCCTGTGAGGTGTATGCATGTACTCTGCCAGAGCTTAGATTGTTAAGGAGGACATCTGGGTAAATAAAACCGATGGGTTTTGAAATGTTTTGCCAACTGGTATTATTAAAGCAATGTTTATATCAGGGTTTGTTTCTTTTTAAAGCTTGAACAGCAGCAACCTCGATGCTTTGGATGCTGAGGTTAACAGCTATATTATCTTTCTTTTGACAGTTTCAGCAGTGTACGATGTAACGCTAAACTTCAGAGGAAACAAGAACCCATCTTTATTAGGAATCCTTTATGGAAAGAAATATGAAGCAGATATGTGTGTAAGGTGAGCATATAATGATGGAAGTGAGACGTACAAGGTTTGTGTTTGGATACTGTGTCCCCAAAACTGGTAGGAAAATGGCCTGTGTCACTGCATCCCTTGAGGATGTTCCTTTGCAAGCCCTGAGGATCTTCCCATTTCCCTATCATTCAAACTAGTCTCACTTACAAGAGCCCATGTCACGGCCATCAACTGTCAGGCCAGAAGGAGACTAGGTGGAACTTTCAAGAGTGGGCATGACTACGCCTATAATCCGGCATTCACCTGCACCCTCCAGAATCAGGAAAATTAAACTAATCATGCCCTCTATGCAATGTGGTGTTAAACTTCTGCCCAAAATGAGCAGTGTCTCATAATGGATTGTGTAGAACTGCATAGTATGATCATTCCTCTCTTTTCTTACATGACTTTGATTAGTACTGAATTCACAATGTTAATCTTGAATGAATTCACACCGAAAAATTGTAAGACAAAAACACCCTATCAACACTTTTCACAAAAGGATCACGCCTTTTGGACATGATCCTATATCCTTAGTCCTGGTCCTCAAAGGAAATCTGAACATCACCTTCAAAGGATGAGCCTGGGAACTTAAATTCGTAACTCTGCTAGACACTAAAAACCATGGATGCAACAGACATGCTGGTTGTTTTATGGCCCATTACAACAATTTGTAACACATCCTGCTGCCTACTAATCCTCCATTGTCCTATGACTGCAGACTTATTGATTGCCCACTTCATTTTAAGTAGTCTCCTACAAGATGATGAACCCCTTACACTTAACAATCTGTCCCTCTTTGTATTTAGCTTAGACTCTCTAGTTTCCTTGTTCAGACCCAAAGAAAAGCTTGTCCCTTCCAACAACAGAAGTTGGCCCAATTAAAGATATTGCCTCACCCACCTTGTCTTTCTCATATCCTGGGACCAATGGCTACAACAACACTGCAAATATTTTAAATATTAACATTGTTAATTGTCATCATTAGCGTCTGAGTTAGCACCCATTGAAATAAATCAAGTCAGTCAGTCCTCACAACTATTGTTTCAGGCCCTCTGCTAACTTGACAGGTGTCTCTGTGTCTGTTACCTTCAGCTTTGAAGGTTTTCTTCGCAGCTGAAACAATTTAAGACTGCCTTTTATTTAAAAAACTGAAAGTTGAGACCCTGAACAACAACTGAGAGGTCTGTCCACTCCCTTCCCCACCTCTTGTCCTTGTGTTCCCTACGCTTTGTGAAACACTACCTTACTCGGATAGAGAGATTGCTGTTGAATAACCAGAGGTACTTCTTTTTCTCCCCTGGGTGTTGGGCACTGCCGTGGAGTGTGCTGCCACCAAGCTATTGGCCAAGCTTATTCTTCTTTTTGATACAAGTGGTTTTGTGTTGTATTGAATCTTATTGGAGAGAACTTCTTGGTAGTCTCACCCAGACCTTCAACATTGTGAGATAGCAGCAGCAATTTTGCAAAATGTAGCGCAAGAGCTGCCAGCCTAGAAGCAGGTGAAACACGAGCTGTAGTTGGGGAGGAACTTCCATTCCAATCCTGTTCTCAGGTGCTTGTGTAACTTCCCCAAAAATTACTCTCTTAGCTGAAATTCCCCATGCTTCTTGAGAGCCCAGAGTTGAGAGGGACTGGAAACCTGGTACAATTCCATTTGACCATTTTGGGAATTATCCAGGGATGGAGAAAGGAAAGGCATGCATTCAGAAATGCCTTCAGGAAATTTTCCAGAAATCTTTTGCAGTTGGATAACTCAAAGTGGTTTCACTTTAACTCTTCTTGCTTGCCACGTACATATTCCCAAAGAGGAGCGCGTGCTTTGCTAAGTGGAGAAACAAGTTACAAACTAATAATAGTGCACTGCACGTGTGCTGAGTATGATTTCCCTAGACAATTGTAAGTGCCACAGCATGGCAAAGCAGATATGAGTAAGTATGCACAAGCAAATATCTGGATATTTTTGCACTGAAACAACGGCTTCATCCACTTAATACCTTCTGCTTGCTAAATGAGATGTGAGTTGGTGTGGTTTGGTGGTGCTAAAGGAAAGATGAAAACCAGTGGCTTTCAGCCAACCTTATAGAACAGTCTGTAGTATTAGTGCTAGGTGAGCATACCTGACTAATTGTGCCCAGTTACTAACCTAACTTCTGAATTGTTCAGTCTGCTGTGATTTTAAATATATATATTTATTTGTGGAGTGAATGTGCCTTCTCGAGACACTTGACTGTGCTAGAACCTGCCTTGTTTAAGGTTGCTTGGGGGCATGGGAGGTTAATCCCAACTGGAAATACAACTTTTCTGGTGATGGGAACTTCCTACAGTGCTGCAATGAGCAAGTACAAAACTGAATCTAATTTTTCCAGACATTAAACACAAATACAGTATGGTGAGCTCTCACTGGTAGGATGTAGCTAGCATACATTTCCCTCTCACAGGCTGTATGTTTCTGCCCTTTTACTGCAAACTGAACACATGTAGCACCCTTGATGAGCCTGCAGACTTAGCTTAGGTCAAAGAAAGGAAGCCATTTGAGCTCAGGTTTTGAGCATAAGATGTACGTTGTCCTCTGCATGGAGATGAGTGGCCAAGCCTGTTTGCACACTTTGCAGGTCTTCATTCATAATGGATCCAGAGAATTGAAATAATCCTCCTAAATCATCAAAATGGTCTTGCTGTGAGTACCCTCTAGTGGCGATTTCAGTGCAATGATGACTTTGGAAGAGAACTTTCAGCAAATGATGCTTTTTATTAATAGCACAATCCTTCTTTATAAAGCTATTCTCAAAAACTAAATATTATGCTAATGATTTAACGGTCTAGAATGTGTTGAACGTGTCTTTCAGAGCACTGGGAAACACTCTTTCCCATGTGTATTTTACAGATTATTGTACTTCGTGTATGAACTGCTGACCTGGTCATTGGCCATCTCACTGATATTTTTTTTCCCATCAGTGTCTTTTCTGTTTGCCCAGAGGATCACAGAGTCAGATTAATATCATCCCTCCAAAAGATTCCACATAACTAGGGATGAGTGAACCTTGCAGGTTTCGACTTTGCAAATTGAACCTTGCAAAGAGTCTCTCTTCATTGCAAAGCAAGCAGGCTGGCACTGCAGTGGGAAATCATTTGAAAGCTGGAGACTGATCGCTGGAAGGGCAGAGTGATTTAGAGGACAGTAGAATAGGAGGGAAATGAGTAGATTGTCACTAGAAGTGGCATATGAAGAGAAGATGGTTTCAATAGAGCTGGTCACAATTTTCCAAATTTTGATTTTTCAAGCAAAAAAAGATGATTTTTTTCTCTGTGAAAATGTTTGTGAATAATTTTCCAGTTTGTTGGCTGGCTCTAGTCGTCAAAATGTGAACTAGACCTTACTTGAATTCAACCATTGATAACTCCATTGCAGCTGCAGTAATACTTGAATAGAAAATACATGTCTTTCTGAGGGAGACAGAAATTGGTAGGAAACAGCTGTATATTCTGCTGTTTCATGAATGCAAATTTCTAAGTGGGAACTGGAGGTGTGGTTTCTATTAAAAGCTGTCTGATTCTTATTTGCACTTCATGACTTTGGTAATTCCAAAACTTCTGTCAGTTTTTGCTATATATTGAATTGCAGCTCTTCATTTGAAAAGATTTAAAGTAAAATAAATATCTGGATTTTCTTTTAAGACTCTCTCTTTTTTTTTTAAATCTCTTTAATAAACCAGGAGATTTCCTCTTGAAGATATCCCTGTAGATGAAAAGGAAGCTGCAAACTGGCTTCATAAACTGTACCAGGAGAAGGTAAATGGCTTTTTTCTCTTTCAGATCTGTCATAAAGTAACGTTCTAGGGAGCAGCATGTCAAGAGCTGAGCAATGCACACTCAACTCCTGGAGGGAGAGAGGAAATGGGAGCACTATGTGTAACTTGGCAGCTATTCCTTAGATTGATTTAAGAAGCGGTGTTGGCAGGCTTTGAAGGGAGCCCCAGCCATTCCTTCTTGACCACAGAATGGTGGCTGTGGTTTGAAGGGAAACACTGTGGGTTACTGCACAGACATAGAAGACATCCCACACACACACCGCCACCCTTGGGGGAGACCATACATAACCTGCTCTCTTTTGCTATGTCCTTCAGGTTTGGGGTATTTTTCATATATTTTTAAATGCTTTTGTTCCACCTATGGATGTTTCTAGGAGCTATAGACACATGATAATTCTAAACCAGACGTGGTCATTCATTTTGGACACGCATAGCAGAGTGAGGCTCTGGACTGCAACTGTTGCAGAGCTAGTCTTTGTTCTCTCCTGCCTATTCCTCTGACTCTGTCCACTTGCCTGCCGGATCTCTGCTGCCATTTCTGACTTGATGCAGGCAGGTCCATTAGTTTGCTGTCAGAGCACATCGGTAGTGCACTCTCCAGGTGCTCAAAAGTTTTATTTCAACTCTTTTTCCTAGATGATAAAGTTCTTCACCACAGATTTAATAGAGCTGCAGGGACGGGGAGAGAACTGTACATAAAGTTTGCCCCGTGCTGGTATAGATTGGACTTGTGTACATCTGTTTTGAAATGCATATCTTGATGACTATTTTTGGTGTGCTGTTTCTGGCACGGAAGGTAGAAGAGCACAGAAACCCTGACACTTACGAGCATTTTTCTGCCTTGGTGACCTGTCCTGCAATATTTCCAAACCTTCACTTAACCTGTAGGCAGGCAACAAATTGTTCATAAGGTTCTTGGCGTTCTTCTCCCAAGTTTCACTTTTGTTCATTGTAACCATATTTATTGTAGATCCTAAAAATACTCAAAGCAATTGGGGCAAGGAGACTGAGAATTGTTTACAAAGAATATTACTTGTTGTCTGCCCCTCTTGCATTCTGGATGTCGATGTGTCAAACAGATTTAAGAGTCATTTGAAAATTATGAAAATGCTCCATGAAATTTCCCACTTTGGTAGATGAGCGTTGATGCACATTTTTATTTTTTGCTTTTCCATTTGTGTCGCCCTCTTTGCTGTATTACCTTCTGAAGTTCTATGGTTATGGCTACTGGATTGAGCCTTCCTGTGAAGAATCAAGTCCCAGTATCTTCAAGTTTAAGGAAATGCTGTCCCTGCTGGTCAGCTTGTGCTTTGCCTCACTCTGTTAGGTCCACAAGGAACACTTTTCTGCTGCACCTCCTATAGATGGTTCCTGACTCTCTAGTAATAAAAACAGGAAGAAGGAGCAATAGAGAAGCAACCAGCACAGGACTGGAAAGTGTCTGAGTAGTTCTCTGGGCTAAAGCTCCTCTGAAGTCTGAACACACTGACAGCTGGTGTACGGTGGTGGAAGGAGACTGACAATATTTGATTTCTATTTGTTTATTTTTAAATAGTGTTAAAAATGTTTGTTTATAGTATTAACTGATGGTTATCGCAGCATAACGGAATGCCAGACAGCCACAGAAAATACAAATTCCTCTCACAGACTCTAATAATGCTTGCCACAGATGTGGATCTTTATGGCATCATGGAATTCTACAGTCTTAGAACTATTCATGCAAAAACTAACATTTCTGAATTAGGAACATTCTTTTCCCCCCTCCCCCCCTCTCTTCCAGGATGCTTTACAAGAGATGTATAATAAGGAAGGCATATTTCCCGGCCATCAGTTTAAACCTCCTAGAAGACCATGGACTCTGCTAAACTTCCTCTTCTGGGCTACTGTCCTGCTCTCTCCTCTCTTCACATTTGGTTTTGGAATTTTTGCAAGTGGATCACCCCTTCTTATCCTTGCATTCCTGGGGTTTGTTGGAGCAGGTAATGAGTTATTGAGAAGAGGGAGATGATGCCAAAGCACAATATGATACAATAGTGGCCATTAGCTGTGATAAATTCTGTGTATGATTACTATTACTGATACTTGCAGAAAGTTGTTATTTTGAATGAAAATTCAGGACAAGTTACATAGGTTTCCATTTTTGCATAGAAAAACAATTATTTCAAAAGCCTTAATTTCAAACAGGTTAGTCTCTTATTTCTTAAGTTACATTTAATATGCTAATTAATATTCACACAGTAGCCCCTTCATGAGGGGTGAAGCATATTGGCTGGGCAGTGTGAAGAAGTTTGCACTGATGGTCCCCATACTGACGGAGTATGTTCTGTGGTTAGCGGAAGACTTCAGCTTCCAGAGCTATCAGTACAGCTTCTTTTAACACATGTGCAATAGTTACACTTTTATTGAGTCTTTAAATCTGGACTGCCCTATGGTTTAATGATTTAGCACATGTACTTGATCCAAAGCGTCAGTCAATGGAAGCTGCGTACACAGATTGGAGGCACTGTATGTCCCAGAGTCACTACCGATTGCTCAGTCTGTGACCTCTGTATCCAATCCCCCATGGCCCATCTCGCATCAAAGTGTGTATGTGTGTGTCAGAGAGAGAGATAGACACAGATTTTTATCATTATATCAGTTGTAATGCACCTCCAATTTTTGTATTATATTTTAAAGCTTCCTTTGGAGTTCGTAGACTGATAGGAGTAACCGAAATAGAAAAAGGCTCCAGCTATGGCAACCAAGAATTCAAGAAAAAGGAGTAACTCACAGCTGCAGCACAGCACATATAACCAGACTATGGTATCAAATTAACTTTATTAAAAACACTTAGAAACTATCTTTTTCTTATTAACTGATGACTAATATTAATGAATAATACTTGAGCCAAGAATGAAGAAATTGGAAGAATCAAGAGGAGAGAAAACATCAGCTTTCTGTCTGTTTAAGGACCATTTTATTCAAACTTGGGGTGAAAATCTGGGCTAAAAAATGGTAACTTTTTGCTTTGTTTGCGGAGTGGCTGAGAAATATTGGACACAGCTACCTACTTCTTCAGATGACCATTCACACTGGTTTATCCTTCAAGAATCTGAAACTCACTTTGCAATAGGAGCCATTGAATGTTTCCTCTTGCTAAAGCCAATTTAATATTTGTTTTTCCCAGCATCAGTGCTGAGTGTGCTCCAGGAAACACAACCCATTTTAAATTCACTGACAGCAGTTCCTTGGGTGAAAGCCATTTGGAAAGGCCATTTTATCATGACTACAGACAAAATCCCATTTGTATACATTTTATTGAAGGCACTTTTTATTTTCAGGCAACATCATACAACTTCTGTACCACAAGAAAATGGATAATAGAATTTTGATGGAAGTGGTACCTTATTGATAAGCACATACTGTACATCAGATTCACTAGTATTAATACAGTTTAAAGGCTTTCCCCCCCTACCTGTTGGTCAATGCTCAGTTAAAGCTCAACACCCCACTTTGGTGATTTGAGCACTGCCCTGTTTTATACTTTACATGCCTTGGATCTGCTTTGCTTTGCTTTTTTTAAGTGAATAGTAAGCCCTGAGATTTGGTCCAGTGTAAAGAAGGCTATTTACTCAGTTGTACTGACGTTTCTTCCTTATTTCTGTTCATGTTTCTCATCGCCGAAGTCCCACTCCACTGGTTGTCCCTCGCAGCAGTCTACTGAGAAAATCAGCATAAACCAGCACAGCCGTCCTGGAAAGGATTTTTCTTTATCTGCAGCAACACTAAAAAGAAAGGGTGCAATTAGTGTCTCTAACGCAGTGATACTCAGTGGTTCAGGAGTCAAATTAGCGATCAACATTACCCAAAAGAGCCACAGTAGTGTGAATTCATTGTTTCATTTACTATAGTACTATATATTCATATTAGTGTAGTATTAGTGAAACAGTATGACAGGCGAAATATTTTGTGTGTGTATATATGTAGTATTCTCAGAGCAAAATGATTGACCAAGTATTATTTTATCAACTACAGTTGGTTAATAACATAGTAAAAGCACCCTGATTGGTTAATAATTAAATCACACAGTGTTTTAATAGCATGTGCTGCAAAGAGCCGCAGAAGACAGTCTGATATCACTGCTCTAGTGTTTAGGGGTCAAATCCTGGCCTCACTGAAGTCAATAGAAGTTTTGCCATTGACTTCAGTGGACCAGGATTCCACCCTACATTTTCTGACTGTACAGTGGTCTGTGCTGCTTTTCTTAGCTGGCTATGGTAGGACACTGATATGAGATATATCGCTAGATGAGCCATGTTGTTAGAGGTGGAAACACTAGATGGTTGTTGAGGTATCTTCAGGGGGTTTTAATATCTACCATTTTGATCACTTGGCCTTTGGGCTTATGGTTGAAAACTGGAGATTGGAACCTTGGCTGTGCCAGTCTCTTTCCAAACGCACATTGTAAAGTTGTGCAGAGTGCCGTTGTATGTGTGTTTAGTTGGGTGTTCATAAATATGTGGAAACTGCTTATATCTTCAAGTTTAAAGGCCAAATTCTGCACTCGGCTACACTCCACAGTAAGCAGTGGAATGTGTTGCCCAAGTATAACTGAGGACAGAATTTGGCCCTAAAGGTTAAAATGATGATGTGTTACCTCTCATCCTTTTGTCTTAACCCAAACTCCTGAATATTTATTTCAGTTCTGTGAAGGCCGGACCTCGTTAAAACACTGATTTATTTATTTTTTGCTGTGGTAGCCAAAGGTAAAAGTGTAATATTTTACCTTCTTTTCATATTCACTCTAACCTCCTCCCCCACAGATATTTGCTCATAAGGATTTTCTTTTGAACTTCAAGTTTTAGAATAATTTAATCGCTTACTGAAATGCTGCATTTGGGGTTGTTCATCATTACTTTCTCATGCACCTGACTGTTCATTTGGGGTCTTTTTTAATGAGAGAATTTTCAAGATTGTCTCATGGCATCCATGTCTTTTGTTAGATCCATCTCCAGCTAAGCATTGCGCTCTCAGCCCCTGTGTTAGTATGCCATGCTTCCTAAGGGAAAAAAGGGGTGCACAACTCTTAACTTCGGTGAAAGTTGAACACCGGCTTCTGAGGGGCAGAATACGGCCATGATTGTGTGTTTTCTTACCAGGCATTTTTTTGCACTCTTTTTAAACAGTTAGAATTCTGAATGCTGATAAAGCAAAATCCCTGGTTTTCTTTGATGTTTTCTAACCAGAGGACCAAAACAGGTGGGCTTGCTATTTTTTTTTTTTTTAATTTGGGTAATGGCTATAACTCTTGCTTGTTAGAAAGACTTAACAGATGCTGTATACTTGCTTTTTGAAGATGATGTTCAACATATTTAAATGGCACTTGCTTTGGTAACAAGAGCAAAGCAGGAAGACCACTGGTTATACTTTACAGTTACCTGTGAGCAGGGGCCTTGGTTCTGGTAGACGCTACCAGAATTTAACAAATATTTCCCCTTTCTTAGTGGCGGGAGGGAGGGGTTGGGCACTATACAGGGGAAAAGATTAAAAATCCCTTCTTTTTATAGAGGTCTTGTCTCCTCTTAGTGCATGCAACTCCTAATTAGAGTTAATGGGATTAGTGCATGTACGTCAAGGGGAGAATAAGCACATGTTTAATGTATTTTCTTTTCTTATCATAACATATTGGTCGTGTTTTGTTTTGAAAGTGTAGTAAATATACTATCATTTGCTTAATTTTTACTATTCTAAGCAGACATATTGGTAACAATTTGGAAAACTGAATTGTACAACAGTGCACAGTACACTGCACAAATAGTGCAAGAATATTTTCATTTTGAACTTTTGTCTCTTCAGATAGGTTTTTTTTAATATATAATTATATATATATATACAGAGTATGTATAAATTAACATGATTGGAAATAGCTGCAGTAAATGTCTCTAATGAAGATGAGCAAGTGGCTTGGATTGGAACAGTGAGCATAGATTTTATATTTTACACTATTTTCTTCTGGTTTAATAGAAAATAGCTTGTATAATTGACTACCAAGCCCTCTGAGAGCAATAATAAACAAAAATATATCAAATTTTTTTGGTCTTTGATTTTCACCCATAATCTCCACAATTTTAATAAGTCTTTTAAGAATCTGGAAGCCTTTCCCCTTTCACTCCATCCATCTTTCAAGGCGTTAATTGTTTGACCTTTTGGATTAAAATTCAAGTTCTCCAGTTGTGGACATGAGGTCTCAGTGGAGCTTTCACAGGCCAACTTCTGGGGAGCTCAACCCTGATTCAGGAGACAAATGGCTTCCCAGACTGAATATGCACCCATTTTAGATTCTGGACCTTAGCAGCTCCCTAGCACTGGCATGGAGGAAGAAGTCATACCCCCTCAGATTCCTCTATGCAATACCATAATAGCATCATGCGACCCAATGCAGGAGCCTTGTGAAGAATATGATGGGAGAGCTCTTGCCGGCTGCTGGCACCATTGCATCCCATCAGTCACAAAAGGATAAAAATTTGTTGCTGAAGGACTTCCTGTGGTATACTAATTGGCATTTACAGGCTTTGGCTCATAGAGGTCTCTTGCCAACCATGAGCTGACTGTCAGAATGTGCTCTTGCTATTGACTTTGTGTCCCACCAAGTGAAGTGTTTCTCTTGGGCACAAAGAACATGGGCAGTGTCCTTTGTTCTGCTTTAAACCACTTTGAAGGGCTCTACACTTAATTGCTGACCAATACTGAGGATTATGTCCCTTTTCCTGGTTGCCTAGCATTCATGGAAAAAGCACACATCTTTTCTCTGCAGCTTTGTTGTATTCACCTCTGTGTTTGTTCATCTTGTCTTCATCTACCACCGTCTACTTACAATGTAGTGTCTGCAGACTGTTCTCTTCTGACGCCGCAGGTGGAGCTCAGGGGCTTTCCAAAACATCTTTTGCAGTACAGCATATCTTCTAATAGAAGTTACTACAAGTGTCCATGGATTTTGTCTTCCTGTCAGTCAGTATTGTTTTGGTATGTTCAATAAGTATGAACTGGCATATTATCAAGTCTAAGTCTGTTGCTAACATGCCTTCACTGGTACAAAGTAGAGACTTTCTACAGAAGGCATGTCTCATATGGTAGAAGACTGTTTGCATAAGTACATCATTACCTGGTACTTGAGCCCTCTGAAATGGACCAGACTAACATGAGAGAGTTAGCACAATGACGTCATTAACATTGGGTGTGTGTAGTTAACCAACAGTTAGTTCATGTGATTATGTTTTTAGTTGATGGAGGTGCACTTCCTGCCTGGGAATACTCAAAAAAGATGTGGCTGTATGCACCTTTGATTAAGGGAATATTGATTTTCATACCAAGCTCAAACTAGGCAGAATGCTTCAGAATGTTGCAAGAGGTGTAATAAAATATCCACGTCCGTTGATGCCAATTAGCTAGCGGCATTCATCAAACATATCTATGGCCAAAATAAACAGGTATAGCCCAGCTAAGTATCATTCATATATAGTAGGTCAACTTGAATGTGGAAGTATGTTCATGGACTTTCCTTGAAAACAGTGCTTATCATTTAGGGGATATAGACTCCCCAAGATGTGCCCGCACTAACGCTGCTAAGAGTTAAGCCACTGGTCCCGAAACAGCTGTTATGTTTACCTCTTCTGATTTGTGACTATTCGTATAGGCTCACCCTCTTGATCTTTATTGCTGAATCTGTACTCAAGCACAGTGTGCCACAACTGCTCACTTCCCCCTTCATCTGTGTGTTCTCTAACCCATGATTGAGCTTGGGCTGCTCCAAACCCAAATATTGTATAAAGCTGGGTTCTGAAGCTGATAAAGGCCACACTGCAGGTTAGAGTAAACATAGTGGAAAGGATGAAGGGCACTGGTTGGTACCGCTGACTTCTTGATCCAGGAAACTAAATAATTGCCAGAAAGTTTGGAAACCACACAGCTAAGCATGCACACAAAGAGCAACCATTATGCTAGTACAAAAGTGAAATAATTTCATTGCAATCAATGGAATTACTCTGGATACACTAGGACTGGGATCAGAATTTGTCCCAGAGAAGAATCTACCCTCCTTGTGTAGTCAGGAGTTTCCCCATAAGACTAGGTTCCACCTGGAGAGGGAAGAAGTGGCAGGACAGTATCTACCTGAGTTCCTCAACAATCTTTTGCACCAGTATCTTCACAGGATTGCTACCATATTTTGGGAACATTTTCAGAATGTCTGAATGTGACAGATCATGTGCAATTTTTGCCAGCTGCTTGAAAGATGTAATGAAAATATTCTCTATTTTAAAGAACTCTGGCAAGATACTGGATTAGCATCCATAAGCTAAACATTTCACAATTCTCTTGTCATTAACCCCTGTGCTTTCAAATTTAAGGAACACAACTTTAAAATTACACAGATTTGAAAATTTTGTACCTACAGTAGTTACAAGTAACACTTCAGTTTTATGAAAAATCTGAAAGAAGTTGGCAAAAAAAAAAAAAGTTTAGTTTGTGTACGTGGACTGTTGGAGAGCACTTTGTATATAGTCAGTTCCCCCTTGCTTGAAGAGATCTTTATAAACACCAGTAAGGTAGTGGAAAAAGCCTTTTAACGTTTTAAAAGGAAATATTTTCAAAAATCAGGACATTCCACTTAAAAGGGGCTCTGTCAGAAACTGGAATTTTAAAAAAATAATTTCAGAAAATCCAGGTTAACAGTGTCCCTTTAGGAGGAGGTCTCTACATATTTTGAATCTTAAAACTCTTGTTTCATCTATTATTTTTTGTCAAGACATAATACTTTTGTTAAGGAAGGATATTTTTAACTTTCAACTTTCTTTTGAAACTAATGGTTAATTTGGGTGTCTAATATTTATTGTG